CCGCAATCCCTTCTCCATTCTCCTCTCGGGATCTTGGGCACGCACGCACACCTGCAAAGCTGACTCCTTTTACTGTATAGAAATTGTATTTGTAATTGTGCATTTTTAATGTTTGTTTTTCCTGATCAGATTCTAAGCTTTATTTTTTTTTTTTAAATGGCAGAGGGCATGTGTCACAGACAGTTTCCCCACCAGTGAAGCCTGGTTGTGCTCCCCTTTCTCTGTCCCATCCCATCCGGACCCTTAACAGCGTGTTAGCAGGCTTTTCTTCCTTCCTTTATGATTTGGTCGAGGATGCGTGTGCTTGCTGGAGGGAGCAGGCGGAAGAGGGGATGAGAAAGCACCCCCGTGGGGCGTGGCTGTGTGCGGCCCCTCCCTCCTGCCCCTCCTGCTGGGACGTTGGGCACATATACTCGTGTGCCTGTGCATGTTTCTGCAGCTGCTGGGACTGAATTCAAGCCACGACCAGCTATGTGGAATCTGTCCAACCACTGCTGTGGGGCTGGCCCACGTAAATACACGTTTTACTATGGAAAGGCTTTGTCCAGAAACAATTTTATTTGGCAAAAATACTGTAGTTATTTCAGTGTGTTAAGATTTTTGCTGTAGGGTGCTCGTGCTTGCCAGAGAGACAGAAAGGGAGAGTACTCCCCTGGGGTGGGGGGATGGCCACGCTGCAGTCCTTTCTCCTCCATTCCCCTCTTGGGATCTTGGGCACACATGCACACGTGCCTGGCCTGAGTTTTAAGTCACCAGGTCTGGGACTCAAATCGTGGTCCACTGTGGGAGTCCAGCAGGGCCATGGGCTGTCAGCGTGGCCATCACGTGGCAGAACTCAGGAAGAATGCCTCCATCACCTGAAAGGGGGGACGTGCGCTTGACTGGGAAGAGCAGCAGACCCACAGCTGATGTCCAGACCCCTGCAGGCACTCGTGGGGCCTGTGCCTCTTTCTTCGTTGTCCTAAGGTGCCGTCAGGTGCACCGTCCTGTTCGTGCCATGAGCGTGGACACACAAGTGCAGGAGGACAGTGCTGTGTTGGATGGGCGTTAGCATGGAGGGAACGTGTCATCCCCAGGGACTGCACTGGCCGGCCGCAGTCATGCTGGTGCTGCTGGTGCAGGTGCAGGTGCAGTCGTGCAGGTGCAGGTGCTACTGGTGTTGGCCCTGCGTCAGCGGGTTCTAGAGCCGAGGGGCCTCCAAGACGAGACTGCACACGATGGGTGAACGCTGCAGGGTCGGGTGAGCCTGGCGTGCGACGTGGACACACCTGCTGTGTGTGCAGCAGAGAGGCCCAGACACGACGGGGACCGCAGGGAGGAGGGTGGGGCCCTGGCCTCGCTTGGCCTTGTCCGGGGTGTAAATGCAGAGGCACAGAAGAGGTGGGCGAGGGCGGGCAGAGGCCAGGGAGGCTGCGGGCAGGAAGTGGGCGTCTTGGTGTCAAGGCGGGAGAAGCACGGATGGACGCTCCCCGGCGCAGACTGAGCATGACGTGGTGGTGACGTCGGTGCAGCGACAGGCAGCCCGTCCAGGACACGCCAGACTCTGCGGCTGGGGAGGGCCGGGGAGGGCAGACTGGCATGTGAGCCTCAGCGCATGTCCAGGGGGCCTCAGAGGGGGCAAAGACAGCCTGGGGTCACGGAATTCTGAACATTTAGGGCCACAGGTCCTGCCTTGTGGCTCAAGCCTCCTAGGTGGGTGTGCAGGTGCATGGCGTCACGCCTAAGATCAGTCTCAGGGTATTGGCCAGGCCCACCTTGAGCTTGCTGTCCTGCCCCAGCACCCTGAGCGGTTGGGTTGGGTTCATAGTGCACGCTACCAGGCCTAGCCCGACCCGGAATCGAACCTGTGGCCCTGTATGTCCCAGTCTGTTAGCACAGCGTCTCAGCAGTGCCTGCCACTTGCTGAGCCTGCAGGTTCCTTCTGAGTGTTCGAGCAGACGTGCCGGGCAAAGGCAGTAGGATCGGGCTCTTTGCATGCAGAGAGCTCGCCTAGTCAGATGTCTGTGTGAGTTCAGGGTTCCGTTCCTGTCCCTAGCCCGTCACTGGGTGGGTAGGGGAGGCTGGGAAGGCGTTTGCTAGGAGAGGAGCACGCACACAGCGCAGGGGTGTGGCTCTGTCCTCGCTGCTCCATCTCCCTCTGCAGGGGAAGCGCAGCCGGTTCGGAGACACCCCCTCAATCGTTCCCGTTACCTTGCTGGGTGTCCTGAGCGTCCCTTAAACTAGAAAGTGGGGCCAGCTTGTGGTGGTGTGAACGCGGCTGATCCCACAGGACCACCACCCCCGCGGGGCTAGTCCTGACCCGGCGGCTTGGGTGTGTGTACACATGGGCCCGAGATCCTGACCGGAAGGAGAAGCGGAGGAGAGGGGTCATAGCGTGACCCTGCCGCGGGAGGTTGCTCTCTGGCTTTCCGTGTCTCCAGCGAGCACATGTGCCCTCTGGCAGGTTAAAGAGAGAACGTAGGAAGTGGCCGATGTCCAAGTGTCGCGAGCTCAAGGCCGTGCCCTCACGAAGCTCGGCTCATCCTAACGGTGTCCGGGTCGGGGCTCACTCACCTGACCTCGGCCTTCTCTGTCACTCTCTGCAGCACGACCGGGAGGGCTTGCTGAGCATGGCCAACGCAGGCCGCCACACGAACGGCTCGCAGTTCTTCATCACGACGGTGCCGACCCCGCACCTGGACGGGAAGCACGTGGTGTTCGGCCAGGTGGTGAAGGGGATGGGGGTGGCCAGGGTCCTGGAGAACGTGGACGTGAAGGACGAGAGACCTGTCCAGGTAAGTCTCTGTTCACGGAAGCCCCCTGACCTTCGGAGACGCAGCGGGAGGGCCAGCCCGTGAGCTGGGAGAGCAGGAGGGAGTTTGGGTGGCTCGGTACCAGGGCTCGGATCTGCTGCTGTTTCTGTGAAGCTGTTTTCTGCCATGGAAGAGAAGGTCAGCGTGTTTTAAAGGCACGTTTACTCTAATTTCAGCCTCAGTGTTGCTGACCTTCGCTGGGTTACTTAGCTCCTGCACCTGCCCGACTGCTGAGTTAGGGTGTGCCGGGGCCAGTGTTAGAGGACAGCCTGGATGTGGGGAGGTGGGGCCATCGCGCAGCTCGGAGGCGTGGGCATTTACCTAGAGGCCTGGCCTGGGTGTTGCCGGTGACCCGTGTGCCTCGGACCCTCGTCCTGTGTGAATTACTTATGGGCTTAGACTGGACCATCTCTGGAGTGTGCTCCGCAGGCCGAGGGTCGGCATGGTCACATTCTGCCAGCCCAAGTGACAGCTGGGGGGCCATGTGAGGGAGGCCCTCGGGGTGAGTGTCCCTTACGACAGAACGTCGCAGGGCCGGAGTGTGGGGTGAGACCCACGTTTCAGCAGAGCCCCTCGGTGTGGCACAGGCACTTCCACTCACAGCCCGGAGGCCGTTCCACGTGGGCCTTTTCTGCCAGGAGCAGTCGGCCACAAGGCCGGGTGTGAAGCCCCATCGTGTACGACATCAGCGCCCGGGGGTCTTGAGGCCTTCTGCAAGGTGCAGTGCCTGGGGCCTTCTGAAGGACGGTTAGGGTTAGGGCTGCTCTCACCCTTGGTGGTAAACAGATGATCGCGCAGAGCGACCTGGTTCTCAGCACGTTCCGTGTTCGCCGGGCCCTCGGTAGCAGGAAAGCATGCACCCGGGACCCGTGAGGCTAGCGGGGCTGCCGGTGGGGGCGTGTCACCCCCAGTGCCGTGGAGGGGCGCCATGGGAAGGAGGTGGCTGCTGTTCTCAGCAGCACAGTGGCGCACGTTACGATTGAGGGTTATTTTTACAGTTGTGCGTTATTGCAGAATGTGGGGAACTGAAGGATGGGGATGACTGGGGGATAGTCCCGAAGGACGGCTCTGGCGACAGTCACCCCGACTTCCCGGAAGACGCAGATGTGGACTTGAAAGATGTGAGTAGAGGCAGGGGCCCCCTGTTGCTGTCTGCTCCTGGAAGCTCAGTCCTGGACCCCTGTTGGGACGCTAGAACCTCGCGCTGACCCATGTTGCCCTTGCTCGCTGACACGGTTCTGTTCTTTTGTACAGGTCGACAAAGTTTTATTAATTGCAGAAGATTTAAAAAATATCGGAAATATGTTTTTCAAATCCCAGAACTGGGAGATGGCCATTAAAAAGTACGCCAAAGTCTTAAGGTAATAAAGCATCTTGAGTACGTTACTCTGCAGGAAGCCCACGTCGTAAACTGACGTGGGGCTGCTCTCTCTGTTCCTGGCAGGCTTGTGGCGGGACCTCTGCTGTACGCTGGGGAGTGTCAGACCAGCAGTGTCGGGAGGCCATGGCTGCCCACCTTCCCCATGCACTGTTAATGCTGCTCGCTCTTGCCCTTCTGGGCAGTTGAGGGGCGCGCACAGCGCCGTGTTTCGGCAGGTGCCTCCCAGAAGACGTGCCCTCTTGCGTGGCCTTACCCCGGGGGGTTCCCAGCGGCCGGCTGTGCTGCCTCCCGGCCATGAGCAGCTCCTGTCACTGCTTGTCTCAGCTTCATTGTTCCCCTAAGATTTGGTCCCAGGGCATGTGCTCACCAGAGAGAGGCAGAGAAGAAAGCGAGAGATCGCCTCCCAGGGTTTTGAACCGAGGGTACTGAGCACGCTTGCTGGTCATCGTGTCTACTGGCCCCCCCACACCTGTGCTCTGGTGTCGGGGCGTCCTGGAGGCCTGCAGGGTCCCCATGTGTGCACTGCAGTCAGTTTGGGCATCTGTGTCAGCACAAGGATGTCAGTAGGTGGAGACACGTGTCCCCACAGTGGTGCGTGTCCCCAGTGGCATGTATCTCCATGGTGGCACGTGTCCCCGTGGTGACGCGTGTCCCTGTGGTGACGCGTGTCCCTGTGGAGAAGCGTGTCCCTGTGGTGCATCCTGGCAGTGCGTGTCACTGCAGCCTGTCGTGTGGGCAGTGGTCACAGTGGTGCCAGCCTCGAGGTGGCTGCTGCTCCTGGTGACTCCGAGTGGTGTGACTGCAGTGTTGCACCTACACCCCCATCCCAGCAGCCTTTCCCAGCATGGCCCCCGCCTGGCAGCTGCACACCGACGCTGCGTGCTGGGCTGACCTCACGGAGACTCCGCGGCCAGGCGATGCCTGTGTGCAGAATCCCCTCCCCCTTCGGTGCCCCCGCAGACCAGGGTTTTTAAATCATTTGTTGGTAGAGGTGCCATCACCCCACCCCTGCCTTTTTTCCTAGTTTGTCGGAGAGAGAGGAAAATGAGAAAGCACCCCCTGTGGGAGATGGTCCCCTCGCTGTCCCTCCTCTGCTCTCCTTGTTGGATTTTGGGCACACGTGCACACACCAGTGTGTTTCTCAGGTCACTGGTCTGGGGCTCGAGCTATGCAGTTGGCCGTGTGGGATCCAGCCACCTTACCCACCAAGCTCTCTCTTCCCCTTTTTAGAACAAAGACAGGGTCTTGCCGTGTCCCAGTCCTCCAGCCTTCTCCTCCCAGGTGTCTAGGACTGCTGCGCTCAGCTTTTTTTTTTTTTTGGAGAGGTTTTTGTTATAGGGTGCGTGCGTTCGCCAGAGAGACAGAAAGTGAGAAATCACCCCCCAGGGGGGATGGCCACGCTGCAATCCCTTCTCCATTCTCCTCTCGGGATCCTGGGCACACACGCACATGCGCCTGGTGTGAGTTTAAGCCACCGGGTCCGGGACGCGAACCGTGGTCGTCTACATGGGAGTTCGGCGATATAGCCACTCTGCTAACTGCTGGTCCCTGCACTCAGCTTTTCCAGGTTGGCTGGGGAGGGCGCTTGGGACCCTGCCTGCTGAGGGCGAGCGTCTGCCGTCGTTCCCACGGCTGGCCACGCCCTCCTCTGTGGTGCGGGTCCGTGTCTGTCCCGCGAGCAGGTGCTTGTGTTCTGGCCCACGGTGCTCCATCATCACCTTACGCTCCCCGAGTTTTAGATCTGCCTCAGCACTTTTTTTTTTTTTTTTTGAGAAGCTCTGATTCTTTCAGAGAAAGGAAAGTGGAAGCTAAATCCCAGGGCCGTTCTCAGGTGGACAGTCGGGAACAGCAGCACAGGGCGCTTCCCCTGCCCCGTGCAGGCCTGCTGTCCCACGGCCAGGTCCTGGTTCCAAGTGTACCTGCTGATAGTGGGAAGTGTAGGGCCGGCAGTTGGCGCAGCAGTTATGTCTGGACTCCCACATGGCCGACTGCAGTTCGAGTCCCAGATGTGGTGGCTTGAAAACCACGCTGGGCACATGTGTGTGCTCGCGCCCAAGATCCGGGAGAATGCAAGAGAAGGGGTTGTGGCAAGGCCACTCTCTGGGGGGGTGATTCCTCACTTTTCCTCTCTCTCTCCGGCCAGTGCACGTGCCCTAAAGCAGAAGCCTTTTTAAAAAATAGGAAGTACCAAAATAAAATAAAAGTAGGTGCCTCCCGGGGCCCGCGTCCTCCAGCGTGCTATGGTTCGATTAGGGGGTCATTTCAGCCTGGCACAGTTTGGAATAAAAGACGCGTAGGAAAGGAGCTCCGTGTTCTCATTAGCGTTTGAGGCACTCGTATCTGAGACACGCCAGGGGAGAGGCGGGCAGGTCGCGTTGCCGTGGCATTCTGCACCTCCTTCTGCTTCTGCAGGTATGTGGAGGGCTCGAAGGCCGCCGTCGAGCAGGTGGACAGACCCCGGCTGCAGCCTGTGACCTTGAGCTGTGTTCTGAATATCGGCGCGTGCCGGCTGAGGATGGCAGACTGGCAGGGTGCGGTCGACAGCTGCCTGGAGGTGGGTCTGGCTGCCTGGTGCTGGCCTCTGCTGAAGGGCTGGGCTGTGAGGCACTGCAGCGCTTTCCTGGAGAGCGCGTGCAGGGCTGCAGGAGCAGGGAGACGAGGCCTCGCTGGGCCTGGCCCCGCTGCATCCCCTCCTGAAGCACACACTGGCTCAGGCCCGGGGTGCAGGCTGACGGGACTGTGGCCGCCACATGGACCAAGGCTTCCCTTGAGCAGCACGTCACTGTGCCTCAGAGATGGGCCCGGGAGCCTTGGTGACGTGGGGCTTAAGTCACGGCAACTCACGGGTTTTGGCCTCGTCTGCGCGTGCCCGGTCCCTGTCTGTGTCCAGTTTCTCAGAGAACTCGGAGCTCTTGATTCACTTAGAGGCCCCTGTGGGCTGGGCCGGGCAGACAGAGCCAGGCACGAGGAAGGTCAGGTGGTGGGCCCAGGGGCGGCACAGGTGGTCCGGGCGTGGGAAGACGCTGGGGGCAGTCCTGGCCTGTCTCCACTGCCTGACTTGCCGGCAGGTGTGCTTTCAGGCCCAGCTGGCTGGGGGCGGCGTGTGAAGGCCCGTGGGCCCTCGTCCTCCCAAGTGAGGGGTGAGTAAAGGATGAGGTTAGGAGCCTACGAGCCCCACTTGACGGGGAGCTCTGCCAGTCTTAGCTGTCTGGTCTTGGGGAGGCAGAGCGCCCTCTGGCTGGAAGCCCATGGAGAAGTGGGTCTGTCTCGGGCCTCTGTGGGCTGTGGCTGGGAAGGCTGGGGTGAGGCTGCAGCCTGCTGAGACCCTGCCGGTGCCCGTCTCTGCTCCCTCCCTCTCCTTAGGAGGAAGAGACCTGTGCAAAGTTACTCATGTTCCTAAACAGAAACCTAGACCTTGGGGCAGCAGCTGGCAGGGTGGCTAAGGCAGCTGATCCCACACGGCCGGCTGCACAGTTCAAGTACTGAGGGCGGCAGCTTGAGAAACATACTGGGTGTGTGCCCAAGACCCTGAGAGCAGGGAGGACAGGGTTGCAAGGCGGCGTTTCCCGTCTCTGTCCAGTGCACACGCCTTCATTATAAATGAACCCTTAGATTTCAAGTAAGACAGCCTGTACTTAGTTCTATTCAGAATGGTTCCTTGTCTGGCGAATAGTGAGGCCCAACCAGGAGAGGGCGCCCTAGTGCCGAGAGGAGTGCAGTGGAGGGCTGCCTTCAACCCTCTGCCAGATGGCCAGGGCCCCAACAGCGAGACCGGCCCGGCTGCAGGGGAGGCTGTATCTGTAGCCGACGCAGCACCTCGGGGCTGCCCCACGCACGGAGGTACACACTTTGTCGTCTCTCTCTTTTTTTTTTTTTGGAGAGGTTTTTGCTATAGGGCATGTGCGCTCACCAGATAGAACAGAAAGCGAGAAGTCACCCCCCAGGGGGGATGGCCACGCCACAGTCCCTTCTTCATTCTCCTCTCGGGAGAATGAGTTTAAGCCATCAGGTCCGGGACTCGAACCACAGTCGACTACTTGGGAGTCCAGCGATGTAGCCATCATGCTGACTGCTGGTCCCACCCAGTTGTCTTTTCACGTAGGCTCTGGAAATGGACCCGTCCAACACCAAAGCCCTGTACCGCAGAGCACAAGGGTGGCAGGGGCTGGAGGAGTACGGGCACGCACTGGTAAGCTGCGGGCTGCGCGGGCGCAGGAGGGGCCTTGTGTAACTCAGACACCTGACTTCTGCGCACTGCTTGAATTCAAGGCTGATCTGAAGAAAGCTCAGGAGATCGCACCGGAAGACAAAGGTACGCGGGGACGTGTGGTGGGAGCTGGCGCGTGGGCACGCCTGCGTCTGGGCTGTCATGAGGCGGACATGGCTGCGGCCCCGTGGTTGGCCTCTGGGTGTGTGGGGCTTCAAGGTTCCTGCAGAGCGTTAGGAAGCAGCATGGATTTCAGCACTTGGGGGCGAGTAGGCCAACTCCATTTCCCCTTGAACTTTAGGAAAGCTCTGACGAATTAAGGACTTTCAAATAAGCCCACTACGGGTGGCGACACTGCCAGAGTACATCTGGGGGAGTGGTACTGGCCAGCAGCTGGAGCCCACCGGCTGGCCGTGTGGTCCGCATCTCAGACCTGCCGCTCACAGAAGCTAGGGCACGCCAGCCCGGGGTTCCTGACGGAGCGGAGGCGGGGTCCTCCTCCTCCGTCTCCTCTAGCAGACGAAGGTGGGACCTCACTGCGTGAACAGGAGGCTCACTGGTTCCTCGGTGGCAGAGGCAGCTTGGTGTACGGAGCCCTGTCGACAGCCTCCCGGAGTGGCACTGTGCTTGTGATTGCTCTTGGGTTGTCCGTGCAGAGGGCGGGCTTGCACAAGACAAGTTTTTGTCACGTTGAAGCTGCTGGCCCCCCTGGTTCTGGATGTTTTGAGCAGTCACTGATTGCCTGTTTATTTTGCAGCTATTCAGGCAGAACTGCTGAGAGTCAAGCAAAAGATAAAGGCACAGAGAGATAAAGAGAAGGCAGTGTATGCAAAGATGTTTGCGTAATGAAGACTCGGTTTTGCCTCCGCACTGAGTGATGATAGAACGGCAGCAAGAAAAGTGGAAGGTTCTGTCCTGTGCAGCCCCTCGGCTCCTTTTCGCGCTAGTTCCCCTGCAGAGAGGTGGGCTCGCTGTAATAAAGTGTTAACACAGTGAAGTGGTGGTTTTAAACAGCCGTTCGCATTACAGAATAACGGTGTCCACCCTATTCTTTACTCCTAAAACACTGACCTTGTGGCATACGTGAAAGCTTAAGTTTATGTATTTATCCTGTTTCCCACAATTCTCTGACGTGTATGTGGCTGATGTGGGCTGGTGGTTTCACCCTTTAGTGTCTACCCATTCGGGACCCAGCGCACGGCCACAGAGGTCAGTGACACTGTCAGGCTGGGTGAACCGTGGACCTAACCAGCCACCTGTGCGGTTTTAACTCAAAATTGCCCAGAGACAACGTGGTCCGCGGGCACAGCTGCGTCCTGGTGAAATGTTACGGTAAGTGGCGAGCCGTACAGGACCCCGGCTTGGAACATTTTTACACTTGAAATCTTCCATTCGGCAAGTCAAATGTAAAGTCAGTCGGAACGTGCATGGTGCTGCTGGCACTGAGACCTCTGAGGAACTGGAGGGCACTAAGCAGATGTGCATTGTTACAAAGTTTTATTTAAGAGAAAGTCATAATTCTTTACAGGACAGTCGGAGACTGTAACATCTGTACTCCCTGGTAATTGTTCGTGGACATTCTGATCGATAAATAAGGCTGTGAGACTCAGCTGCTCGTTAGCTCGGAGCATCCCCAGGGCCCGGGGCCACCAGTGCTGCATGCCCGCGGTCTACATCCCGTTGTACGCGGGCCCTCCCCCCCCCTCCGGCACCACCCAGTTGATGTTCTGACTCGGGTCTTTGATGTCGCAGGTCTTACAGTGCACACAGTTCTGAGCGTTGATCTGTAACCGAAACCCGTCACCTTGTTCCAGAGGTACAAATTCATAAACTCCTGCAAAGTAAACAGAGTATTCAGTACCCGGCCATTTTACGTTTCTAGACTCAGAAACAGAAATGAGAGGCCTCGAGGTGGCAGCTACGGGG